GACTCTGGCACAGGATCGGGAACGTTGGAAGCACTGTGTGACGCGTCTGCCTCCGCGACCCGAAAGGAGAGGCGGCGATGGAAGGTGAAGATGAAGAGTTAGCTACGAGATGGGTCAAGGAAAGTGCAGCCACAGAAGACTCTCTGATTGGGCTGCATTGCCGATCCTCTTGCCCACGCTAGGATGATCGCGTCCAAATACCATGCCGCCTTTATAACTCGTAAATCGAGGACTTGCTACCTCTTTCTCGGATGGTTGCACAGAGGCAACGTAGAGTTATTTCCTTGCTCAAAGAAATTCGTAATTAAGATAAAGATTTCCCTGCTCCCAGTTTTATTCTGTCATTACCGAAGTTGAAAGCGACCTCGTCGGTATGTTGCATCACACTCCAGTGTGTCATAATGCTATTGATTTTAGACAAGAGAATATTCTTATTACCTGAATAAGACGGCGCATGTTTTCCGTAGAAAGGTTGCAGTGGAATCTTGTATTCTGTCTACAAGGGTTGCAACATAATTTTAAAGCCTGGGCAATTACTTCATAGATTGTGACTTCCAAGTGGCGGTGTTTTACAGGAGCATAATAAATTCATCGTAACCTATTAGGTTTTTTGCGGATTCCACGATCACCATTGTTTCTAGTTCATTGGGAAAGCGATTTCATCCGTTTTCGTATCCATAGTATTTGTTTGACACATGCAGCGCCAAATGTCCCTTGCTCAATGAACCTCGCGCTAATCGGAGGCGATGTTCCAAAAGTTGGTACTTTTTTATGCCACGACATAAACTTCCAAACATATGCCCGATAAGATAAAATTACGCATGATTTCTGCAAGATTATGCTTCACCCGTATTACGCCGCCACTTTGTTTCTAGTTGATTAGGGGAGCTGTTTATGAGTTGAATGGGATGTTTCAGCGGAGGTGTTTGGTCGCGATTGTTAGGGCATAGATCGATAGCAATTCCCAAAATGTAGCCCTGTGGCTTTGATTTTAGATCTGTATGACTGGGCGGTGGTGACTTGTGTCAAATGTTTCATCTTAACTTTTATATTTCATACTTATGAAAATCTATCTGTATGAAACTTCTGTCAAACTAATTAATTATCTCAGATTTCCATTTTTGATTTATGAATCCATTCTTTTGACGACGCGAACTGATGAGGTCATCGCGCAATCGTGCTTGACTAAATGTTAGGAGGTTATGGCCTCTATGAGTAAGACTGGCGGAAGGACTCTACGAAGGAACATCGTATGCTGTAGAGAATGAAGGAGATTTATTGAAGTGGTTCAAAATTTGCTCATGCATTCATCGAGAGGAAGAACTTCCCTTACTGTGGGTTTACATGTTGGTTGACAACATAATGCGGAGAAGTGTCGTTCAAAGCGAGGTAGAAGCCTTACCACCGGGCCATGAAAAAGTTAGTGGTTAATCTAATCGCCTCAGAGCATGGTGGCCTGGAAACCGCTACTTCCGTGGATGCAGTATAACAGAAGAGGCTAGACTACGAGTTAACCCAATAAAAACAACGATGAGCATACCAGCGGTCTGGAGATAAAGTTTTATGGCGCGACGGTGGAGGAAGTTGACCGGTTGAAGTAGTTGGGCTCGATTATGATGAACGACGGAAGCTGTGGCAAGCATATTAACTAGCCCCTTTGGAATTGCTGCTGACCAAACTTGGAAAGGCTGCATAAAATATGGAAAAACTGCTGAATAGTGATCAAGACGAAAATTGTCATCTTTAAAGAAACCGTTTCCTCCATTGTCTTGCATGGTCTTGAAACAGTTGCTGTCCTGGAATGCCAAGAGCATAAGCTAAGCTGCATTCTTCAAGGCTGCTTGCGAAATATGATCAAATTTCGGTAGCATCATCGAGTAACGAATGATCACATACTCAGAACCACGAAGATAAAGAGGCTTTACAAAGGTAACCTGAGCTGGTTGGATTAAGTGGCTCAAACATCAGAAGCTTTCATTAAAACGTTCCAGCTATAAAAGTCGACTACGGAGAATAAAAGGAAACAGGGCCAATTTAATATCTGGCAAAATCTTATAAGAAGCTGATCAGTGCACCACTAGGAGTATGCATTTTGTTAAATCGGAAGGCCTAAAGCAATATGAGGCCTTCTTATTTGGTGTCGAACATTGTTATTTGGACTAGATGATATTGTTAAACTGCCTCTCTCCAGACAACGATGACAGACAACGTTAAGAAAATCAGGAACGCCATAGAAGTAAATTTTTGAGGCTGGAGGTTGTATGTGGCTCCTGATTCCCAAAGAGGAGATAACTCTGTCACGCTTATTTAGATTGTGATAAATGCTAGTATGCTTGGATTCCAGTATGAACAGTTGAAAAGGAAACGCTAACAGCCAACGTCCTTGTCGAGCTCATTCACATCAATCGCCTGTCATATCTACATCTTCATTCAACTAAGGACGGCTGAAACTGTAGGGAGTACTGTAATGCCGGCCTTACAACGGCATGCCATCGGACAAGGCGGTGATTTAAAACAATGACCGGATGCTCTTCACTCTCTGCGATGTCTGCAGGTAGTATGCCATTAAGTACAGTATAATGTCAAATGAAGTGCTGTACATTAACTGACTGCGGAATGCCAGTTAGAAAATGGCGTTCTTGCGACTTTCCAAATCGTCAACGATCCTGCGGGACGCTAATCATGATCCAACTGCATATCACGATCGAAAGACAAACCACTGACGCTAAAGGCAACGAAAAGCGGCATCCCGTGCAATTTCTTTGAAGTTTGTCAAGATATAGTTTCTGTTGTTTCATAGCAAATATAGTTCTTGTGTACATTTAACGCTCTGTACAATAGATGACGAAAGCAGCGGCATATCGAACGGCTGAAAAGTGCACAAGGAGTTTGGATGGCTCCACTGCAACGAAGCCGCTTGCCTGATTAAGTCGCCTCGTGCCAACGCATAAAATCACTCAGCAATTTGGAATTATTAATTTTGATATAAAAGCCTTGCTTTGTGCTTACATACAACGTTTCCATTGATTAGAACATCAGGGCTTCAGTCAAATAAATGATAATGATTGGTGCCTGCTAATTACATCGATTTGATCGCATTGCTGACATAACGGCGGCATAATGATCTCCCATAATCATCATATGGAATCATGAAGTGAAACGGTAATATTTGAAATACAGTATTTTGTCAGTGCATTGGTACTGTACTGTCATCCGGTAGGGCCATAAAGAATGACGCTGTAAAATGGAAGAGAACACGTGATATTGCTGAGACGTCATCGCGCCGTCATAAAAAAAATCTGTGAGCCTCCAATCTGACAGCGTTTTCGTGCCATGTTCACTGAGAGCTTTTCACGTGAATGATGAAGCAATCGGAAACGGAACAGAGGCAAGCAGCTGCCAGTACATAAATTCAAACTTGCTCGCTGACTTAATGAGGTTGAGTGATCAGAACCACGGAGGCATAAAATACAAAGGAATTCTTGGAAATTCAGCAGTTGTGCAGATGTCTCGCATTGTATTCACTGAGAGGTTTTCATGGAAATGTATTACGGGAGGTGCCTTTCTTCCAATCATATGGACTGAAACTCAAAGTTGTGCGAATGAGTGTTGAATTTCACCATTGATCTGCGTCCAAGCGGTCGGCGCCCGGATGTCAGTGACCGATTTAGACAAGCTACGGATTCTTCTTGTTTTAGCAGCTACACCTACAGTGCCGGGCGTCTGCCATACCTACATTACGTTCATCGGTAGAAAGTGAGAAATTGGCGAAGTCAGTGTGATTCAGCTCTGACAGTGTGGCTGTTTCTGACCAGCTAACACTCAGTTGCAACTTCCAAAAGCGATTTCAATATCAGTATCACTGATGTTGTGATATTCACGGCTACCCAACAGTTTTACAGTAATATTTTTATCGACTTGCAATGCTACGATGACGTACAGCATCGTCACTGCGCATACGTCAAGAAGAGGCTTGACAGACTGGCATATTACCGGGGGATCATCGACTGGTTGTCAAAAAATTTCAAACCTCTGATCCCAAACGTATGATATGCCAGATTCTTTGTTGGCCCGACCGTGCAGTCAGAGGTGAACGTTGTCTGTGGACCCGCGCTGTTCATGTAGAACAGAGAGGACACGGATGCCGTTTCGAGCGCTGTTCTTCTACAAGTGCCTTCACATCACAGAAACTCCGAAACCAAACTTGTAGTGGAGGTTGAGTGGCGACTTGCATAACGCAAAATGACTAATAAACGTTTTGCTTATTTCCGAGCGAGCTCCATGTGCCGAGGTGGCAACGCGAATCGCGTGGGCTATTCGACGTCGACCAGTCGATCAGTCGATCACATGCGATTTCTAATGGCTTGATGCACACTGCAA